TTACCTGCAGTAGAATTCCTCTTAAGTCACTACTTCAAACTTAGTTCATATCTTTACTCTCTTGCTGTAACATCTGTGTTCAGGTAAAGCACCTCTGTACATATGTATATGGGGCCTACTACAAGCATGGTCAGGTCTAAGGACTAGCATATCTGAGCTATTCTGTCATTCCACTTTCATCTCCTAATTAATCAACACAATCCACTGTTATGATATTTTGGATTCATAATTCTTCCACAGGACATATTTGAATGTTTCCTGGCTTTACTAGTGAAAAAATAATGCCTGCATATGAAGTTGATGTAATTTCAATAAGTCAATAGTACTTAAATACCCATCACATATTATTTGCATATGGAGGTACATTATCAATGTCAGATTGAATAGTGTTTCTCACATGTACAGAATTTGCAAAACATGCTATAAAAGCTGTCCAAGAAAACTCAGAGTTCTTACTGATGGTGATACTGGGATGCCAGTTACTGCTTGCTGTGGCCATTTTCTGATATGAGAACCTGAAATAAGATGCAATATTGTAAATAGAAATGTTCCTTTCAATCCATGTTCTGAACATACCCAATTTGCATAAGCTATCTAACAGTGTCATGATTATTGAGCAATAATTTTGGTATGCATTTTAGAAAGAAATATTCATAATTCATGTATACTCTCAACACTTGCACTTTGTATGTATTGTTTCATGTGTGGTCCACAGATGTCTGCATGTATTAGGCATTATTTTTTGTTTGGAGCACTTTATTCAGAACAGTTGTTTGGGAAATCCCACCTAATCCCTGCCTATCTTAGGTTTTCAATTCTTCTGTCTCCTGCAGGTATCACAGACACTTTTTGCATTAATGTGTGTAAGTTAATTTCCCACATTAACGACATTCTTATTCAAGAAACATCTAGGCAAAGCCATTAAATATCCCCACTACTATAGAAATTCAGGAGGAATCCAGTTTTTCCTTCCATCTCTGCTCAATTGACACTACCAAACATAGTGACCCAGTTTGAGTGATACAGCTTTCCTCACACCTGGTTCTCTCAGACCTCACTGTTCCAAATCTCTAGTTCTCCTGAATATGAAATTCAACTGGACCTTCTCTGGTGATGCCCATGTGTATCTAATGACTAGTTTGAAACTGTGCATCATTGACTGATTCTGCTTTCACTACCTGGTATCATTCAGTACTTAAGGTGATTTGTTTGCCAATATTGCTCAATTGTGTTGTTTCCAAAACATTCAGAGTGACCCCCCCTTCTCCTAAGTCACATATCAATCAAATGATCGAGTCAATGAGTGATTATTTTCTGTGTTAAATCTTTTTTGTATTTCTAGCAATTTCCATGTTTGTCCTTGATCTTACTATTCTATGGAATCTGACATTAATTGAGAATAACCCGGTAGCTAATGGAAGCAGAAGCAGACACCCACAACTAAGCACTGAGCTGAGCTAAGCACCAGTTGTAGAGAGGGAGGAGTGATAATGAACGAACGGGGTCATGACCAGGCTGGGGAAACCCACAGAAACAGCTTACCTGAGCAAATAAGAGCACATGGACCCCAGTTATAAAGCTGGGGAACCAGCATTGAACAAAACCAAGCCCTCTGAATGTGGGTGCCAGTTAGACAGGCCTGGGCAGTATATGGGATGTCTGACAGTGGAACCAGTATTTATCCCTAGTGCACAAATGGATTTGGGAGCCCATTCCACACAGAGGAATACTATTTCAGCCCAGATACAGGGATGAGGGCCTATGCCTTCCCCAAAATGATGTGACAGAATTTTATGGTGCCCCATGGAAGGCCTCACCCTCCCTGGGGACTGAATGGGAGTGGGATGTGGGCCATAGGAGAATGTGAGGGAGATGGAACAGGGATTGACATGTAAAGTAATCTTGTTTCTAAATTAAATAACTAAATTTAAAAAATAAAATTCACCAGGAAAAACAAAGTATAATATCTACATGGTGGCTCACTAATTTCCCCATTTTATGTTTCAATGTGGGAACTAAGGGGAATCATTTGATGTTTTTCTAGATCATTTCCTTCTAATACATAATGCCTTTAAAGGATTGGCTGTAGAAGCTATCCTCTTTACTATTGGTCTAATCTGGGCCTACTTCTACTGTTGTCCAACTAGAGATAAATAAGAAGCCAATACCTTCATTTTCCTATCTAATCCAATACACCCACTATGACTGTGGGTCCAATGTCAAAGGCGTAAGCCACAATTCAAAGATATGTGATTCACAAAAAAAGGAAGCACATTTTTCCTCAGCACTTTTCCCTCTAATTCATAATCTGTAAGCAAGCAAATAAACAATGGCTCAATAGCTTACTACATTTACTTAGATTATATTGACACTTGAATGCTCATCTTGTTTATGTCACAGCATCTATGAAATAAAAACAAAAGTACAAATGCTAAATGGTCTCACTTAGCCGTTCACAGTTTATGTGTCAGCATCTGCTTCTGGGGGACCAAAGGATTCAACAGAGGAGTGACTGCCTGTACTGGTTGTGCCTGGCTGTATCAAGGAAAACCAGTGATCTGTTACTCAATACTGGAAATGCGTTGTTTCCATGGACTCCATTCCCAGTCACATACCTCATCCCTGGATAATTCAAGAGAAATCTCCATACAGCCATAGTAGACAAAACTTCACAAATCTAGGGAAGTAGAATTTTCCTACTCAGCCTTACTCCGCCTGGAGTTGGAAACTTACTAGGGGCCTGAACTGTACCATTCATGGAGGTGTAGGTCTCTTCACTCAGATGGGATCAACAAGAATGAAGGATAGTTATACCCACCTCCAATTCTTTCTCCATTATTGTTATTTGGGATATTAACTTGAGTGGAAGTCTTCTAAAATCCTGGAAGCAAGTCCCCAAAAAAGGTTACTTGAGGGAATTTGTTCATTTGGATAAAACCTGAGCACATTTCCTGGGGAGAACAGAAGACTGAGCCACGGATACACCAAATTAACAAGGTTTTCCAGTACTATTTAGGGATGGAATTGTCCCAAAATAAGATTCTGCTGAACTTTGAGATGGATGTTTTAAAAGCACCCTGGGTCCTACCATTTACCCTATCATTACATTTTAGACATCATCAGAGAAGGTGGGGCTAAATGAGAAATTGTACTGACTAGCTCATTTTAAGACCCAAATAAGACATTGTACTGTGTACTTTCATGTCTGTGAGTAACCACAAAGGTAAGAAAACAGATGGCTCAGGGGTTAAGAACACTGCCTGTTGTTTCTAAGGTCCTGAGTTCAATTCCTAGCAACCACATGATGTCTCACACCCATCTGTAAGGAGATCTGATACCCTCTTCTATTTGCATGAGACACTTGACTTTCCTCCTACCTCCAGAACTTCTAGTTTTATATTGTCTCAATCTGCCTGCTTGCTTCATTCTGTTAAATGCATGCAATCTACCTAATGGCATTAAACAACTTTATTTTAAAAATTAATTTCAAATGCTGTGGAGCTGGAATCACAGGCTGTAGTAAACTGCCCAATCTGGATGCTGTAATCCAAGCTGCTATCTTCTGCATGAACAATAAGCACTCTTAACCACTATAGAACTTTAAGTTTCTGTGTTGCTTTTTGTTGTTGTTTTGATTTGTTTTGTTTTGTTTTTTCAGCCAGAACTCTGTCTAAGCCAGTGTACTGGACATTTATCTATAATACATGTCAGTTTCTTCTGTCAAGATCTTAAAGGGACTTCCATGCAGATTAAATAAACAAAAGGACATGCTCATAATTTTGTGTTTTGGCATGCATGTCCCCAAATACTTCCTGAGTTTTCAGATATAGGCAATCCTGTGCTCACAGCATTTCCTTTGTCAAGTAAACTCATGTTAGACAACTGCAGGCAGGAAATGAAACACTTTCCTTCTAGGCTCTAGTGAACATAATTTGTTTTCTAAATGAATATATGAATATGGTGGAGAGGCACCATGGTCAAGGATATTGAAGCAGGAGTCCTGGCTGTGTCAGTATCCCTGTACTCCATCTGAAATCACACACTATTGACGGCCATTTATTGGTAACCTGAGAATTTCCTAAGGAACATATTGTTTACTGTGTTGCTTCCTGATAAGAAGTTAAGTTTTAGCATGTGAGGACCACAGAGAATGTAATAATAACTGCCTTTGGTGTAACAAAAAGCCTTTGTCTTTCTGTGCAGGCAGAATGACTGTGCCTGCAACTGCAACAAAGACAAAGAATCAATTCATGGAAACAGAATGCTAATGAGGAGACACTGGTCAGAAAACCGGGATTCAGTGTGAAAGATTGACAAGGAAATCTGCCGGGTAAATTTCTTTCAGTGGGAGTACACAATACATACTATTCGGACAGCACAGACAGACAATTATTTTTCCGATAATACCATGCCTTAGAAAGAAATAAACACACAGGGAAGAGAGAAAAACTGTAAGAATTCGTAATTGCCAGACTGCAGTAAAAATTGAAATCTTACTGTAGAAACCAGGCTGAAAATTTGAACTTCTGTGTCCCTTGAATGCAGCAGGATGATAATACACAACATTGCCAGTGTTACACGTCTTAGCCCACAGAGGATATTAAGTGACAGGTTCGATAATGCCTGAAATGTTAAAGGTCAAGGCTCTCGGACAGTCTCAGTGGCCATGTGAAAACTGCTTTCGCCATAGCAATCCTTCACTGTGGGTCCCCCACGGAAGTCTAAGGAACAGCACATCTCTGGTCTCTGTCAGAAACTGATTCCAAACTCTCAGAATATTCCTTGCAAATGATGCAGGACTGCAAGGCAGAGGCATGGATGGCAGATTTTAAAGCAGAAGCTTTAAAAGCAGGCTTCAGAAGCAGGCTCACATTTCTTACACAGGAAGCAGGAGCCTGTGACTCAGAGCCGGAGTGCAGGGAATTTCAGCATAAAACAGGCTATGCTGGGTTTTCATTGGCTTTGTCACCTGCACGGTACAGGCTTGTTCTTCTTTTGTTTTCACAGCTTACAGTCAGGCTTTGGCTAGATCAGGTACCAGATGGTACCTGGATTCTAGCCAGGAGCCTGACTGATAAAAACGCTAGCTGCAGAGATTTTTATTACCTATGGCTGCCTCTAATTGGAGGAGTGGTTGCAGTCAAATACAGAGAGGATCAAGAACCAATCAGAAGAGAGATCTCAAACCTAGGCTTGTAAAGCAAAAGCCTGTGGTAACCATGGTGATATTCCCCACAGCAGCTATCTCTCTCTCTCTCTCTCTCTCTCTCTCTCTGTCTCTCTCTGTCTCCCTCCCCCCTCTCTCTCTCCCTCCCCTCTTTGTGTTAACAGCAAGAACAAAAAAAGCAAGTGGGAAAGACCAGGCAAAACGTTATTTACCTCATCTCTCCCTCCCGTTAACAACAGACAAGGAAAGACAGTGTATCTAGGTGCTAATCATGTATCTAGAGGCTTACAGCAAATACTGGGTGTCTACAAGAAAGCTTCCATTTTTATCTTCACATTTCTGCTTGTGAAACAGAGCTCCCAAGTGCTTCTTGCTGCTGATTCTTTATGATATGCTTGTGTCATGTTCCCCAAGTGTTAAATTATATTCTTGAATAATAAAACTATGTAACATTTTAGGCTTTTTAATTTAAAATCTTTAATTTAAAATATTTAATTACTAGTTATATTTACATATCCCCCATTCTCCTGCCCTCCCATGTTCCCTCCAACCCCGCCAACCCGTCCCCCAACTGCTCCCCAAGGTTGGTGAGGCCCTCCACTGGGGAACTTCAATGTCCTTCACATCATTTGGGGGAAGGCCCAGGCCGTCTTTCATGTATCTGGGCTGCGATAGTATCCAATCTCAGGGAATGGGCTCCCAAAGTCCATTTGAGAGGACCCAAGAGAAGTTTGCAGTCCCTTGAAGAACAGGAAAGAGGACAGGAACCTATGAACAAAGTGGAAGCAGGGGGCATGGGTGGAGATGAAGGAAGTGGGAAGAGAAGAAGGGGAGGGGGCAGGAGAACAAGAGGACTGAGACAGGGGAGCAATAGAGGAGGGCAAGAAAGGAGATGCCTTGATAGACGATGACACTACAAGTATGGAGAGAGAGGTCTGGCACAGGGGAAATGTTAGGGGATCCACAGGGATCACCCAAACTAAGAATCCAAGCAACAGTGGAGAAAATGCCTTTGATGCCCTTCCCCTATAATGTGATTGGTGTCTAGATAACATTTTAACGGCTATTAGAGGTCCCTACAACAATCTGCTTGGGATCTGGGCTTTTCTGGTGCATGCCTTGAATCCCAGCACTCAGGAGGCAGAGGCAGGTGGATCTCTGTGAGTTCCAGGCCAGCCTAGTCTAGAGAGTGAGTTCCAAGAGAGGCTCCAAAGCAATACAGAGAAACCCTGTCCCAATAAAACAAAATAAAAAATATGCTTGGGTTGTAGAAATAAATATTGCTTTCTTTCAAGCCCTGCTCGAAATATACCAAATTAGCAGAGTATCACACTGTCATAATGATAAAGAAATAATTTAATAGGTATTTGCTTTAGAAGCAAAAATTCGAAGGAACTAGAAGAAACCATTCTGTGTGAGGTAACCCAGTCACAAAAAGACAAACATGGTATATACTCAATCATATATGGATTTTAGACATAGAACAAAGGATTACCAGCCTACAATCCACACTGTAGTGGCCTCAGTGAGGAGACCTCAGTAATCCATGGGGCCTCCTGTAGTACCTCAGTACTTATCCCTATCATAGGTGTGCACTTTGGGAGCCTATTCCACATAGATGGATACTCCCTGAGCCAAGACACAGGGGGTTGGGCCTAGGCCATAGGATATGACAGACTCTGAAGACTCCCTATGGAAGGCCTCACTCTCCCTGGGGAGCAGAAATGGTATGTGATACGTAGGGTTTTACTTGGGCTAGTGGCAGGGGAGGAGAGGAGGGAGAGGGAACTGGAATTTACATGTAAAACAATCTTGTTTCTAATTCAAATAAAAATGGAATAATAAACTTAAATGATAATAAAAAAAGAAATTGTGTATTTAGAAAATTCCAGAACATCCCTATACGAGAGTCTTCTCCAATCACCACCATTACTATTCCATGTGAAATTCATATATGTTTTCTCTACATAACAATCAAGGTCTTACTTGGCACCTATGTGTGCATGGCTATGGGAGCATCTATTGGAAAATGAGCAGTCTTCTGAGTCAATGTCCTTGAGAAAATCTAACTTTTTTTTTTATTCCATCAGCTCATTAAATACACATAGCTACTGAGATAAGGCTTAGGATTCACAAATCCCACCTTTCACTCCACTGGGATTTTGAATGACTAGATATAGTTTAAGAAATGTATATGCAATTACAAATGTCAGGAGTGCTAATGTGCTTAAATACTGGGTTGATGTAAGAGTGCATTAGCATTGGCTAGTTTGAAATAGTGTTTCTTCAAGGAAAGCAATTTGGCAAACAGTCTAATCTAGCTGGCCAGTAAATAGGAGAGATTTTTCTGTCTCTCTCCTGTCCTTGGATTGCATGCTGTTACCAAAGTATGCCTGATTTTTCATATGTATCTTCCAGAAATAAATCACAGTTGCTAGTATTTCCAAGCAAGTATGTTTTCCCTGAGCCATCTACTGGACTCTGCCTATTGTAACTTCAAAAGCAAAAAGTAGCATAATGAATGCAATTCAAAAACCGCGCTGCTTCTCGCTCTGTGGAAATATTTTTTCTTCTCCCCTAGGTATGATGATGTCTTCTGTATTCTACCACTGTCAACATCCTATGTAATTCAGATTGCTGTTTTTCTACTCTTTACAACTGTGTTGTGTTAATGTAAACACTGTAGATATTCTCCTAGGAAAACACCCTGATAGGCTATTTGATACTAAGGTGTCAACCTAAACTTACATACATATGAACAACACCTAATATACACAGCAACAGGTAATTATGTTTACATCTGTGTAAGTAAGAATGGTAGTCACTAAGAAGAGGTAATAAAATTGCAATCAAACAATTGGGGCTAGAGTTAGAAGGAGGAAACCTGAAAAAAAATGTCAGTATAGTGTTCAAATATCACTTTCTCAAATAAAACATAGGAGCATATATTTTTAAGAGGAACTTAAATAAAGTCTTCATCTATTTAGAGAGAGAGATTGCCCCAGCTAGAACTCTTAGGCCAACAAGTAAAAACTTTCATGTAATGTATGGATTAACTGTTGTTGAGTTATTAGTTAAAGAGGTCCAATAGCCCTACACACAAGCATGACAGATAATTTTCAAGCCTATGTTTTAGTCTTCACAGGGGAATAGTAAAACCCTGTTGCCCAGTGCACTTACTTATGTCATCAAAACTAGATAAATTGATCTTTTCCAAAAATAATTTTACCCCTACTAAAATATTCTTGAAGGTTCACTGCATGTTACTGGAGGAGAAAGGAGTCTTAAATGTCACCAGCTACAAACATTGAAACCCTACAATAGAAATCTGCCTACAAGATATGCTGGCATAATAGTGACACAAATATAGAAATAACCAAACACCACCCCTGACTTCAAGCTCTATAATGGAGCAATATTCCTGAAAACAGCTTGGTATTGGCACAAAAATACACAGGTAGACCAATGGAATTGAGTTGAAAACTATGAAATTAATCTACATACCTACAAACATCTAATTTTTTGACAAAGAAGCTAAATATATACAATGGAATAAAGAAAACATCTTCAACAAATGGTGCTGGAATAACTGGATGCTGAATTGTAGAAAACTGCAGATAGGTCCATATCTATGGCCTTGCACAAAACTTAATTTCAAATGGATAAAAGACCTCAACATTAATTCAGCCACCTGAAACTATTAGAAGAGAAAGTAGGAAGTATCTTTAAAAGAATTGATACAGGATACTGCTTCCTGAATATTGTACCTGTAGCACAGACACTGAGATAGAAAATTAATAAATGGGACCTCCTGAAACTGAGAAGCTTCTGTAAAGCAAAGGACAGAGTCAACAAGACAAAATGGCAGCCCAAAGACTGGGAAAAGATATTCACCAACAGCATATGTGACAGAGGGATGATCTCCAAAATATACAAAAAAATCAAGAAACTAGCTTGCAAAATACAAAATCATCCTATTAAAAAGTGGGGTACAGAACTAAATAGAGAATTCTCAATAGAAAAATCTAAAATGGCTGAAAGACATTTAAGAAAGTGCTCAGCATCCTTAGCCATCAAGGAAATGCAAATCAAAACAACTCTGAGATACCATATTAAACCTGTCAGAATGGCTAAAAGCAAAAATATTAATGATAGCTTATGCTGGAGAGGATGTGGAGAAAAGGAACACATTTCCACTGCTGATTGGAATGCCAACTCATAGAGCCATTTTGGAAATCAGTATGGAGATTCCTCAGGAAAATGGGAATCAGTGTACCACAAGATCCAGCAATTTCTCTTTTAGGCATATACCCAAAAGTAGCACATTCATACAACAAGGATATCTATGCAACTATGTTCATAGCAGCATTATTTGTAACAACCAGAACCTGGAAGCAACCTAGATGCCCCTCAACTGAATAAAGGATAGAGATAATGTTGTACATTTACACAATGGAATACTATTGAGCAGAAAAAAAGAAATGGAAGCTTGAAATTCACAAGCAATTGGATGGAACTAGAAGAAACCATTCTGAGTGAGGTAACCCGACACACACAAAAACAAACAAACAAACAAACAAACAAACTAACAAACATGGTATGCACTCACTCATATATGGATTTTACACATAGAGCAAAGTATTACGAGCCTACTTCCACACTGCCAGAGATGCTAGGAAACAAACAGGACTCTAAGAGAGACATATATGTACTCCTGTGGAAGGGGAAAGGGACAAGATCTCCTGAGCAAATTGGGAATATGGGCGAAGTGAGAGGGAGCTAGGAGAATAAGAAGGAGAGAAGAGGAGGGGTGAGAAGGATATAAGGGAGCAGCAAGATTGTGTAGGGCGAAGAATAGAGGAAAGCAAAATAAGAAATACCATAAGTGAGGGAGCAATCATAGGTTTAAAGAG